TGGCGCCGTTCATCCCACTGGAGGCCTTCGCGGAGTTGCCTCCCAGGTTCGCCTCCTAGCCGAGCCGCTCCGGCTGCGTCGGGTGGATCGGTCGAGTAAAACCGCAGTGGTGAAGGAAGGCGAGAACCAAACGACGCAAGGTTTTGGTGAAGAAGTTCAAAGAAGGAACAATAAAATCGTGTTGGTTTCAGATTCCAAACACAACTTACTGTAATCAAAACCCCAAACTTAGGAGGCATTGCTTTTGTGACATTATTGTATACATACTTGGCCTTGACAACATTACTGTAATTTGTTTGGACCTAGAGCATTCTTTAGACCTATAGTTTCCTATAGTAGTGTTTTAGATTGTTTTAGTGGATGATTCTTGACCTAGAACAGAAGCTGTCCGGATAGATGCCACGGCGGATTCGATGGGACCGGTGTGATTACATCAAACAGAACCAGGCAACACACAGCCACCTTGGCAGAATGTCCGGGATCCACAGGATCCTGAACTTCGCACCAACACGTCGGACATGGGATGATCATTGGGAACTGAAGGCGAGTCGACGCGATGGGACGAGGCGAAGACATGGCTCTGCCTTGCTTTCGAAGTCCCAGCACCACATCAAGTAAAGGATAACCTACAACCAGGAAAATTCATACCCATGGAACCTGATGGCAAAGGACCTTTGGAAGACTGTTTGCCTCTACAACCCAGTGGTTTTCAGGTTAATCTTCCAGGGCGTAATATGTAGGACATCTACCGGAATGTATGCCATGCCATCGGTGCTGGTGTTTCTGGAAACAACCTTGGCACCCAATGGATACCCCGTCACACCCCTCCTTGTCAATAATCGTCACTTTCGCTCCGCGCTTTGCGGCCTCTCAGGGTGGTCTGTTGGTCCATCCGGGGGGCCGTGGAGGAAGATATGATCTGACAGAAGCACCCATCCTTCACCCCGAGCTCATAGCAACTCCTGGGAGTACAGAGTATGCTACCAAGTGCTTCAACATCGTTTTTTTGCAGCTTCCAAACGGGAATCGTTTCACTGGGAATTTCTTTCACTAATAAGAAGCTCTACCGCAACTTACTGCAACCGTCCCCTGCAGAAGCGTCACTGGGAACGGATTCGTCTACCCACTCGTCACTTCGGCTGCACTCACCTGTAGTATAGGTCATGTTCTAGGGTCCAACACTCAGTGGCATTTCAACAAACGCGATCAACTTACAAACATTGACCATCCCCTTCAGACTGATTTTAGTGAAATCTGGAACCAGCACGGCAAATGTGTGAACACTTGGAAGTGGAAGTGCCATCGCCATCGCCAAATATTCTTGGAGTTTGTTCCACCATGTTCCACCTCAATCATGATGGGTTATGATCTCTCTTAGGCTCAACCAGGATGGAGACAAGTGTACAGCGTACAGTGTAGTAGTGCCATGATGTGCCATGCCAAGAGTCTGGAGACCTTTGAGTGCCTTCTTTGTTCACAGGCTCGCATCGCAGCGAAATGCTTCAAACGCTTGCTTCGTTCAGGCGACCCCAACCGGCAACAAGCATCCTCCCAAAGAACTGCAAATAGGAAACTGATGCAAGATGTGACCGTCTGCCTTCCCTAGCAAAACAAAGCCTGAGAACTCCAACAAAGTCCATTGGACCAATTGTTGCCCAATTAAGCCCAAATCAGCACTTGTTGCTGCAGGGTCAGGTTCCAGCAAGACTTTTGTCAAAAGAAGTCCGTGTCATCTGCCCTGTCCCACCGTCATCCGGGTCATCTCGTGTCGCCTCGATCGTGGCACACAGCCCTGCGAGACCACCGCCCACCACGACCACGTCCATGGCACTCGCGGCGCAGGACGTGCTGACCGAGGTGCTGGCAAGGCCAGGGGCGAGCGCCACGCACACGGTGGGCCAAAGGCGGTAGAGCTGGCGCATGAGCCAACAGTTGCTGGCGCATGAACTTGAGAGATGAGAGCGGAGCCAGTGGAGCCATCCCTTCGGAAAAAAAAAAAAAACAAATTTCGGGAAGTTTTGAGGGAACAAACATGGAAGAGGGCAAGACTGTCAATGTTTAAAGTATCTCGAAGTCATAAAGTTCCGGACTTCCATGTCCGGTCCAGACCTTCCCCTGTGTCGAACAAAGACTCCCCTGCTACATCATGCTACAGTCAATGCAACTGAACATGGGTGCGTCAATGCAAGTGGTTCACATGCAAATGTACAGATCGCAGTCAGTCCTCTAGTACAACCTAATTGGCACCTTTGCCTATAAACTTTAAACACGTGGCATGGACTTGGGGTTGTATCCTGGCCGAAAGCAACCACACAGCCCAAGGAACTTCGGAAATTCAGCAACCGCTGGCGTGGCGGAAAGGTCAGCAACTCCGAGCGAGCTCCTCGTAGATGGGCAGGGGAAGCTCCGTCCGTGTGCCGTGCGATCCCCAAACGGCGTGATGTCCAAAGGAACTGGCTCGCAAACACAGTGGGACGTGATGGGGCATGATGGGACAGATCCCAGACATAGGGCGAGTACATGCGAGTACAGTGTTGTTCAACTGCATGCAAGGTTCCTGCATGCAAGAGTCATGTGACAGTCACATGCCCGGCCATTTGGGGGTGCTTACACAGGTCCAAACCCGGCTGATGGAACATGTTGCCCCCATGTTGACCTTCTCAACTTGAGGTTCTGCTGCCACCTAAATCAATCAAGAACCACGTGCGTACGCTGCGAGGTCGCAGCAACGGTTCACCCGCACCAATCGACAGGTCGACATATGATCGAACACAGGTCACATCGACCCGTGGGGTCGAAGCAAACACAGGGAATCCAACTCGTGCCTTTTCGAAACAATATACCGACCGCGACAACCGGCCCTGAAGTCGCGGTCATTCCACTTGTCCTCTCGATATCTGGTGTTTCTGGGAAAATTGCGTTCAGACCAGCACTTCTCTCAAACCTGGGGTTTCTGAGTTGGATGAAGGTACAGAAGTGGACCGCCCGCCCTCAACGAGTCGGACGAGGTGCTTCACGAGAAACGGCGCGCCCTTCTCCAGAAGAGCACCCTCCGATCTTCGTGACCAACAACAACAACAACAACAACGGTACAAACCAAAACTGCAGCCCCGTTACAACATATCTGGTTCCTTCGTCTCTACAAGGGGGTGGAAACAAAATCTGCAGCCCCGTCATTGGTTTTTGCCAGCAGTGGTAGCGTTTGTACTAGTGACTAGTGCTAGTACTAGTGGTACTGGTACTAGTATAGTAGTCGACGTCGTTGTCGTTGTCGTTGTCGTTGTCGTTGTCGTTGTCGTAGTCGTAGTCGTCGTAGTAGTAGTAGTAGTAGTAGTAGTAGTAGTAACCGGTCAGCTAAGCCTCTGTAAAACTTATACTTAGAACATCTACCACATCCTAGAGACAAAATCTGCAGCCCCGCTGTTTATTTTCCGCCCCCCCAGAAAAACACCCCAAAAGACATCCAAAAGCAAGAAACAGACCAACCAAGACTTGAGTACCACAACGACAAGAAGTCCAGCTACTAACATCTCTCCAAACCTTCGACCCTATCCCTAACAGTGCCCCTTTGAAATCCCTGACTTGCAACACGTGACAACTATGTTGGACAGCTATTTTGTCTCTACCAACAACAACAACAACAACAACAACAACATCAACATTCGATCTGCGTCCCTTACCGAGGTTCGAACTTCGCCCGGTCCTGCTGCTGGGTCCTGCCATTGCTGAGCAGGCTGCTCTCCTGAGGTTTGAAGGTGTGGGATGATCATACCTGGCCAAAGAAGCGACACACCGACAAGAAAGGATGCCTTCTTGGCTGACTATTTGGGGGCAATGAGTGACACACCTGGAAACAACAAGCAAGTGTCATGATATGTTGTTTAAGTTATATATATGCAAACATCACACTGCAAGCCCCTCAGTCCAAATGAATGTTCTAATTTTCTTGAACTTGCCCAAGTTCTTGGATCACAGCCACCCGATGGCAAGCCCGGCCATGCCCGACCCTGCCTTTAATCCGTCTCCGGATAACCATCTGATGGGCCAGTATACAAGGTCACTTTGAAGAACGAGTTCAATGGATAATCTTTAAAAGTAGTTCGGAGGTGAGCTGGAGAAGTTCTGGGATCGAGCTGATGTTTTGATTGGGGTTTTCCACTAAGAAGTCCTAACTTTTCGTCAGCTGATCCATCATTTCAAGTAATGGACGGTTGGTTTGCACAAGACCCAAGTATGAAAAAAAACATCTATATATGTGTGCAAATGGGCCCATTTGTGTGCAAAGCAATCGCTGTTTCAATCAAGTCAAACACTGCAGCTTGATGTCCACAAAAAGGCAAGGACACCATGAATTCTTTGGAGTAAGCGGTGCTGGACTTGCCAAGCACTGAGTTATTGAGCCAAGATGGCTACGGCTCACATCACACTGTGGTCAACCTATATCTTTTGTAATGCACAGAACATCTGAACCTGGAGCCCCTGATGTCCAAGGTGTTCCACAACGAGATCTATAGGGCAAGGCAACATACGGCGACATGAATGCAGTGGTAAATCTCGCCCCAATCAGATTTCTGATGCAATGTCTGTGAACGGCTTCGTGCTGCAGCCTCTGCCGCGTGTATTTACAATCTCAAACGAAACAGAAAACACACATATTTTCTTGGTGACTCAACACCTCCAAGACAGTCCACCATGCAAATCACGCAGTAGAGACGGGATGAGACAGGGTGATCAAGTTAAAAGGGCCTTCCAAAACCAACCTTCTGGCGAATCTGGGATTTAACCTAACTCAGAAAGATTTCAGTGACTTTTGAGTAGCCTCGGGTTGAAACCACACATCGTCACAGTTATGCGACTCACAAACGACTGTCAGAACTCACAGCCACTTCATAAGTTATCTGCCATCCCATCCAACATCTATCATCCAGGCTGTTAGATCCAACATCCCAAATCCATCAAAATCCCATGTCCCTGCCCCATCCATCATCCAACCTCCGCACCTCATAGATCTCTGTGCCGTCTCCCAATCAGGTACCTCGCTGTCTCCGCGGATCCGAGCCCATTCCTCGGTCCTTCCGAAAAGGGGTTCCTTGGTTTCTCAAGCCAAGCGATGACAGGGAGAGTATAGCACCAACGATCTGGTCTAGAAAAACCTGAGGTATACCTCCCAATGACTACGGTTCCAAAGCACACTCTCCAAGACGAATTTAATGAAAGTAGGCCCCTCACTTCCTATCCGTGTCTGGAGACATGTTTACGTAGGGTAGGGTAGTCGAACGCCAGGACACCCAGACAGGATGGTCCTGGTATGAAAGTGCCGTCGTGTGAAAGTTTGCTTTGTCCCAAAATGTCCCAAAAAAGTCAAGACGCACAAATTGATCGTTCACATGTCTTCTACCAACCTTGTTATGTTATATGGCGTGTGGTCCAAATGTTTGTTCCCAGAAACGATGCTAAAGACTCATTTAGATGCGGGCCCGCTGTTTGGCGTAATGGTTTGTGGATAAAGTGCAAACTGATCAGAAAACATAGATCATGTCAAGATTTCGTGCAAAACACACTAGCGCGGCACTTCTGCGCTCTTTTTATTCATTCGTCTGACGATGAGCTCTCAGTGTCTTCAGAGGATGAGCTGGATGATGAATTGCTTCTCACGGCATCTCTTTGCCTCTGCCGTTTCTCTTTGGATTGCTGCAGCTGCTGCAAATAGCGGCTCAGCCGACGTTCAAACAAAGTTGAACGCACAACTTCCTCAGCAGCATGTCCTTCCAAGGCAGTCATTCTGGAAATCATCGTGTTTCGTATGTTCGGATCAGGGAAAGCTTTTTGCCATCGTGTGTTTCCAAAAAAACCTTTCCGCCAGCTTCTCTCATCAGCAGGGATGTTGACTGTCTCAACATCCAAATAGAAGACTTCACTCTTTGCACGCCCGCAATCGCTGAAGAACATGTTGCGGAAGCGAAGCAGTCGAGCATTGTTGCTGCCAAAATGCTGCATTTCAATGCTATATGTTTTTTTGATTTGCAAGGTTTCGGAGCTTCCTTTGAAGTAGGTCGCCGGCTTGGCTTGGCTGTCCCAGAAAGCAATGATGTATTTGGTGCCGCCTTTGTCTGGCGGAGATTGCTTCATGTCGTGCGCAGCTCCAGCGACAAAAGCATCCCTGAGTTGTTCAACGCTCATCAGGAGAGTATCTGGCTTCATCAGGCTAGACTTAATCCAGCGGTTGCAACAGCTGAAAAGACTGTCTACTTGTCCTTTTCCGTGTTTCTCAGTAAAATAATTGATGGAAAGAATCAAATTGTTTCGATTTTGTGGTCGCACGTGCTTCTCTGCAATATGCGCGGCCAAGTCCAAGGTCCGGTAATGAGGTCCGCAATCGAACCATAGCTTCACAGAGTTGTACTTGGAAAGGCCGCCCAGAGACTGAAGCATTTTGTCGATTTGCAAGCATGCTGCCAAACAAGTGTGCTCGATGATTTCACTAAGATAAACAAGGCAGATTCTCTTTGGCTCTGCGCCCGTGCGGCCCACATAGGCAACACAACCAAGGCAGCTGACTTCTTTCCTGGAGTGTGCCCAGAACTGCTCATTTGTTTGTACTGCTGCCAGTGGCAGCGTCAAGTTCTGCTTCCAATCTAACCATAAGAGAATCTCTTTTTCTTTCAAAGTAGCAATCTGCTGCTTGCAAGCTTCATTTTGACGTTCAGCAGATTCTGAATGGAACTCATAGGATCGACATACCTTGTGCATCCATTTCAACTCATGCTCATATCTAGCCTCCTTGGCGTGGAGGTCAAAAATCAACTTGTTTCTGCTCCTGGCCGGGAACTCTGCTCGAAAATTTGCCGTGTGCTTGTTGAGGTACTCCAAAAAAGCCTGGCAAAAGCGCGAGGCTGCACGTGGAGCTGCCGCATTCCAAGTCTCTGTGAAATGCACGAAATACGATGGCCATGTGCATATAATGGACCGATTCTGACCTGCGCGCTATCACTATTGTTTCCCCTCGTGCTGCTTGTCAGCTTTGCAGTTATGCCTGCCTCGCAGGCTAAACCCTTGCGCACACAAGTTTGTGTGTCGCCGAAAAGAAACCCGGAGCTGCAAAGTTTCAAGCGGGACTACAGTCACTCACTCCTCTTTCGGAGTTCCTTGAGGATTTCCAACTGCTGTTCGTACAAAATACGTTCAGCAGGTCTCGTCATCTTGTCAGCCAATCCTGACATGCATTCTATGAAAGAAAAAACACGAACAGATCCACAATATAATTACATGGTTAGCTATTATACTTTGCGTTCGAGCTGCTTGTGTCTCTGCGAGCCTTCGATTCATCTGCTACTTGGCGCTTCATCTCCTCGGTCCATGTGCTAACAGCACGGGATCGCCCAGGCCGCCTGAAGCCATATTCGCAATCGGGACAGAGGGCATTCTTGAAGTCTTTGGTACGAGGTGCTCCGCATGCATCATTTTTGCACTGAGCCGCTTTGGACGTCACACCTCCGAAGCCAATTCGCAGGGATTTTGGCGGTGTAGGATTCGGTTGCTCCGCACCTTCGCCAGGCTCAACTGTCCTTGCTCTTTTGCTGCAAGGCGTTGCAACTGGGCTACTGGGAGGCAACATACCCTGCTGAGCTCTGCTACATGTAGGTGATCTGTCACCGTCATCTGGCACCGCCGAAGTTGGGCCTTCATCAGAAGGGACCTCAACCCAGCGACCCACCGCCAAAGAAAAAAGCAGGCACAAAAGCAAGTAGAAAGAACAACCACAACCAACAAAACAAGAAACAAAAACACCACCACCACCACCACCACCACAACGACAACAACCACAACAACACCAACCAAAAAAAACAAGCGACAAACCCATCGATGCAGCCAGGATGCAGGAACTTGCTCTTGCTGTCCATGGTGTAGGA